AAAAAAAAAAAAAAAAAAAAAAAAAAAAAAAAAAAAAACCTGTGAAAATTATCTACAGATAATTTGCTGCTAGTACTCAAAGATTCTTGTTACACTATTAGCTGACCATTGAGCTGACGTATTTCGGAGATATCTGTCACAACTAGAAAGAATTAACAGCATTAATTTTCCTTGAAATTTGTACTGCACATTAGAATGAAGGAGGTTGGAGGAAGAAAACGGACAACACGATGAGAACATTCTCCTTCTCTGAGCATTTGTGCAAAACGTTCCTCTGGACAGAGTTTAAAATCTCAGTAAAAACACTTGTACTTTCCTGATACACCTTTCAAATGGGTTAGAAGGAAAAGAAAATGAATGTTCTCATAAAAGCAAACAGAAGTGCAGAGAGACAAAGTGAGAATTCCCACCTGAAATGAAAACTGCAGGAGACTGGTGGAAAGTGAGTCAGTAGTTGGAATGTGTTAAATGATATAAAATTAGCTATTTTGGGTATTTCTATCAGAGGGGAATATTAAGAATGTCTTTCCTACTACAAAAAAGAAAAATGCTTTCCACGCTTTAGGGAACAGTATGCTTAATTTGGATATCTTCTCCTACATTTAGAGTACCCAGGATACCCACTGCCCTGCCACAAGACATTCTACCAGGGTCCGATACCATGTTGTGCTGTTGACATGCAGCCACTGTTCTTCACTCCCCTTGGCTTTATGCCCACCCCATGCACCTTGACCAGGGGCCTTACAACGCACTGGAGAGGCTATGTGCTGTCAAGAGATGTGCACTGTCGCTTTGTACACTGGCCAGACACAAGGCAAACTGTTGGCCAAACACTTCAACAGCTTCCTGTGCCTCAGAGCAAAAGCAGAGCTGCTAACACCTGGAAGGTGTTAGTATCTCTTTCAGTATACGCATACAGCCAGAGGAATATTCTGCCTTGCTTTATTTAAAAATACATGCTATAAGATAAACACTGTCACCTCCTTCCAGCACAGAGATTTGTTTCTGCTTTTTAAACTAGAGAAAGACAGCACCCGAAACTACTGGAATACATTGCATTAGCATTCCCCAGTCCTGACGCGTGACACACTTAAAGCACAAGTTACCCATTAGACTCACTTTCCAAAAAGTGATACAATTCTGGACCCTGTAATCATTCAGTACAGCTCCTGTCTGCTGTCGTATCTTTTCAGTGGCAAAAATGAATAACGAGGTGGAAAATGTGAAAACAAAAGAGCTCTTGGTGTTTTTAACCACGTGATACCCTAATAGCCAAACAGATTATTTTGAGTGGAAGTAGTTCCTGGTTCCAGCAATTACTCAAGTTGTACCAATCCCAGTTCACTCACTTTATGTGACAGTAGAAATAGCATAATAGGTAGACATTAAACACTGCCTGAGTGCACAGAGCAAAAATCAGTCCAATAATCCTGTGACAGAATAGAGATCTTAATCAGTAATACCGTTGCTTAATCAATCTTAGAAAAGGCTGTATGAACAAAATGCCCTGACGAACCAAACTAAGTGCGAGTCCCACATGTATTGCATCCCAGAATACCTCCTTTACAAGGAAGGTAGGATTTCTTCTGCTTGTTGAACTGATATCCAGGTGTCAGTGTCAGCAGACAGATTCAATTCACATACACTGAAGAGGGGCAGTTGTGCAGAAATGTGGCATTGAAAACTCCCTAAGGCACTAAATGTGAAGTTTCTGAAGAGGATGGGTTTCTGTGCTCAGCCAGGGAAACACCATGTGTTTGTGATCACCCTGTCTTCTGCTGTTCCTTCTGTGGAGATAACACTGTGACATCTCTCCCCCAGCTCCATCTGGTCTTCGGGTCTCCCTTGCTCATCTTGCAAAGAACTGACAGGGACTGGAGTTTGAGAATTTGCTTCAGACAACCACCACTGGCATCTAAAAACCAGCCTAAGTGAATCCAGCTGTTTGACTCTTCTGACTTACTATTTGGCCTGGGCTTCCACACAAACGCAGGACTGCAGTACCAAGCTCCCCTTCCCACAGGTCCCAAAAATGTCTTATTGGTAAATTGAGGCTGTGCCACCTTGAGAACTATGTTCATTCCCTGGTGTCCTCTCTGAGCCAGCCTCTCTTAGGTGCCCCTTGGATGACGAGCATTCTGTTCCTCTGCTCACTGCTGCGCATCAGCCCTTCTGTGAGCCTTGTCCTGGGCTGATTTCACCCATCCTGGAATGTGGCTGACAGCAGATGCTATCTTCTTGATGTCTCACCTGACCTTGCAGAATAGGACTAATACTTTCCATCAGATACTTTCCTTCCTTTTATAGTCACTTTACTCAACCCTTCCTACCAGGAGGTGTTGTCAAGAAGTGGCTGCATGGCTCCTTGGCTGGGTTCCAGTGATCTCTGGCTCCCAAATGGATGCTTAAGAGAGTTCATGGAAACGATGTACGTGGCTCAGCCTCTGCTGGAGCTTGGCTTTGCTGAAGCCATAACATTTTGCAGATCTTAACACATAGCAGTTTGTGATTATAGTATAAGCCATATACTATTTAGAAGTAGCTCTGAAAACATAGTAGTAAAGATAAAATTCTGAATCTTCACGCCAACTTTTGTATTAATTTGCAAGGACTAATTTGTGTTTGTATTAGCAGCTCTCTTACGCTGCCCTCACAGATAGAGAACTCTGTTGATCTCTAAGGATTGTACTTCTGGGTTGATAACAAAGTGGTTTCAGAGGTTCTGGAGTCAAAGATGCAAATACCATTATTAAGTCAGCACAGTATTTCTACAGCACATCAGAAAGGAGTGCATGTCCTGGCTCAGCTTTACAGTGTAGCTTTGCCTTGAGACTATGTAGGAGAAGACATTTAATTCTTGAAAAGAATTCAGAGTAAGGACAGTTCAGATATGACGAAAGCATGATGGTGTCCACACTGTCACACTCCTCAGGATTTCTTTTACTGATACTGTGAAGGTGAACAAGCTTAAGGAGAACATAACCTCAGCATGGGCTGCCAGCCTAGTCAACATCCCCTCAGGAAAATGTGTGAAGCAAAATGATGTCACAGTCTTGCTGCACTGGCTAAAATACAGTTTAAAAACTCCAGCATTTGTTCAGTCTTTGTTTATAACACAGAAATGAAGCAAACAAAAAGCAGTAGTCGCATTCACTGGAAGTGGCTTTTTTCCATCTTTGCTGCAAAGTTAGTTGCACTGCTAGGACAGCTAATGCAAAGATATCTTTTTTGCCCCTTGATCTCTACCAGTGAAATCAACGGTGGTCCAGATGCCTAGATTGCAAGCACAGCCAACAAAATCAAGTGGCATCTTCTGCAGATGAAGGCTTTTGTCACAGAAGAAAGTCACTAAAGATGGATAACATGAAGAGGAGGAAATGAGTACTGTGATTCCTGACATGTTAGAGGGTCCCAAGTAAGCCATACACTTCCCAATTTGACTGCCAGCAGGCAGAATACTATATATGCATTTTGTATCAGGTGGAAACACACCACTATCCTCACCTGATTATTTCTAGGAATAGGCACTGACAGCTCATCATCCAGTAACATTTCAATCATTTGAATGGAGATTTCAAACCCAGGTACGTATCAACAAAGGCTGTCTATTAACCACATAACATGAATGCACATTTTCAAAAGCATCAGCATCATATTCATCTGCTGAAAAGTTGTGATAGTTTGATGCAAACAATGCACTGCCTGATTCTTGACCAACACAAACAGTTTATCTTTCTATTGTGATCAATCTCTACTTGTATAACAGCAAAATCTGGCTGAAAGTCCTTAAGTGTCCAGAATCTCAACCAACTGTGCTCTCCTCAAATATCAGTACATTGAGGAATATTTTGCATTAATTTTCTGTCCTATTTTTATGGGCTATTAAGCTCTGTCTAAATCCCCATGAGTTTATACAATTCATTATTCTAAAGGAAAAGAACAGCATAGGTAGGTTAACATCAGTGGTGCTGCAGAAGAAGTAATAAAATGACAAGCTGGACCACTTTTTAATATGTCTATCCTGAAAGACACTTGAGCTTATTTTCAACCTCAGTGCATGACCTACACCAGTGACTACTACAGCCTCGATCTGTGCATGTGCCTGGAAACTTTGGCCCCCTCATGAAATGGGATTTACCAGATACACAGAAATGCTGACTGCTGCATTGTGCTGCTGTTGTTAGTCTCACCACTGTAACAGTCGGCCCTGAATTGGGCTCCACATGACAGTAAACCATTGCCATAGTAGAATGTCACCCTTTCCAACATGAATCCTAAGAACAAAGCACTGCTTCTTTAAATATTGTGGATAGAAAACTATTTGATCCTACCTTTGAGACCAATTTGATTAGAAGTTACAATTCCATAAGCAACAATGCCTTGTTTGATTGAAGATTGTGCAATCCCCTATCTTGTAAATTTTTTGTAATATTTGCTACGTATAAAACCTTATTTATTCATAACCTCATGGTCTTGGCTATGGAGTCATCCAGATTGCCAGCCACAGAGTGCTGAAAAAAGGGAAAAGCTCTGCCTTGTATGAAAGTAAAATCTTGGGGCAAGTATTCAAACTCACTAAGCATATACATACCTGAAATCAAACACATCGTAATACTTTGTCAATTCAGTGCCACAAAACACATTACAGTCATCTGTGTTCGTCAGGTCCCTCATTACAGCAATCTGGCATCAAAGTAAACGCGTTATTTCTTTTCCCAGTTTATTTCCATCTTTTCAAGAACAGATTGGGATGCTACCTTAAAAGCCACTGTTCTCAGGCATCTTCCATAGCTAATGAGATTAGTCCCAGCCAAGGGATAATCCCAATCGATTAGGGCTATTAGCGCACAGCTCACTCATAATTACAGCAGAAATTTCTCCTGTGGACTGAGAGGAAAAGCAGAGTTCTTCTGTTTGGCACAGGAATGACAGCACTTTGAATGCCAGAAGGATACTTTGCCACTTTGAGCAGAGCTCTACTTTCCCATAATTTGTTTACTGCACTGAAGATCCAGAGAGTCCCTTATTAAAGACATCTCTTTGAAGGCAACTGAAAATTATAATGCTACACTGGACAGTAAAGGAAGAAGGAAATGAGAGAGAGGCTAAACAACAACAGTTCTGCCCCTGGAGATCTGCTTGCGGCACTAATTCAGGGGAAGGAACACACTGTGAAAAAACATCACAGCAGATCCTGATCCCCAGTCAGGGGCTTCCTGCCAGTCCCAGTGGGAGCTTGCAGGTGAGCCAGACTAGGAGCTGTCGATTTCCTGCAAGGAACATTTCCAGCTCTGCTGCCTCCCGGAGCCTCTCCCAGCACCATGTGATGGAAGCCAAAACACACTGTTGACTGGCAACCTCTGATGATGTTATTGTCCCTTGGACATTACCGTTAACTCATTCAATTCAGAAAAAAAAAAAAAAAAAAAAAAGCCTTGAAGCCTTTCTAAATTGTAAGAGGAGAAGAAGCTGGTCCTGTCAACAGCATAACTGGGGAGTAATTAGATGTTTCACTAATGTTTCACTAGAGTGACTGCTCTTTCTCCCTCAGAGCACTGGGATAGCTGAAGTCTGAGAGCTGATAAACTCTACTTTCATGGACAGGTGGGTGTTAATATTTATTTATGCATTAATCTTTGCCTGCTGCTTTAGGAGTGTTACATCCATGAGCTCAGGAACTGGCTATTTTCGGTGTGGGAATGTGCCTACTTCAGCCACACTGTAGATGTGAAGGAAAGCCTTTACTTGCACTGCCTAAGCGTCCATACTATTGGTGAGGGAGAAAGCACAGTTCCCCTCACCTTTTTTTCAATCCACTAGCAGCAAGACAGGAGACATCTGAAAGGCAAAATTGCTTTAGAAGCACATGCAAACACCTGGCTCTGTTGATCACAGACATTTTGGAGAGCCTTGTTTGAAGTCTGGGCAGCTCAGTCGCTGATACAAACACACGAACTATGTCTTGAATGTGTGTTCCTGAGCTTCACCATTATTGATTCTGACAGTTTGCTTGATTTGAATGCAGCATGAGATGAGTGCCAAATTGCACACAAATTTAGGTGGTCAGAAACCCACTGCACTTGGCACACAATTTCCTATCTCCAGCAGTGCCAACAAGGTTCGCAGCAGGACACATGCTCGTGTGCATGCCAGATAGCACAGGCAGCTCTTTCTCTTATGCCATCTTGGTAATACCTGTCACATTGCTAAAATTGGCCAGGTGATGTTCCAGTGCATCAGACAGCTTGCAAGACTCTAGCCAGTTTTGGGTTGGTTTTTTTTTGTTTTTTTTTTGTTTTGTTTTGTTTTTGCAAAGGAAACAACAAATGACTAACTTGTTAAACATGTTTTGGAGAGGTTCACCTTCCTGACCTCATGGGCTGTTCCTCCAACAAGGATGTTTTGGTCTTGTATTGCTGAATGTGAGATGACTGTCATGCCACACAACAAGTCATAGACACACAGTTCTTCCATAGCAATGGTTTTCTGGACAAGTTCCAGGCAATAACTAATCAGCATGCTAGAACTGCTTCCTTGTCAGAAGATTTAAACAGCTGTGATGTAACAGACATCTACCGCCACTGATTTTTTTTTCCTTAGCCCCCCCAAAATTTAGCATTTTGTTTTTCAGAGAGCAATACAAGTGAAAATGAACTGAACATAACAGTTTCTATTGTGCTGAGTAGTTTTCAATCCAGTTATCACAACAGTTGACTGTCTGAAGTTAATCAACTCTTTTTCTTCTTAATGACTAATTAATGATTTTCCAATTATGATTTAAGGTATTTGGGTTGAGGAACAGAAACTGTGCAATTACCAGAAAAAAATATCTGAGATTTATATAAACTGAAATTCATCAGTTTATCTTACCATGTATTTCTGTTATTGCCATTCCTTTGAGTTATAAGACTGTTGTAGTATGCTCTGTACAAAGGCAAAGCAATTCCCGATGAAAATCTGACAAGTCAATGACTGGACCTCATTTTTCCTTTCCTTTCCTTTTTACTAGTAGATAGGCTACAGCAAATTTAAATAGGTATGTCTCAGCAGGAGATTTTTTCACTGTTGTGAATAACGGTGAAAAGCAGAGGACAAATCAGTAGATGACAGAAAGCTGTTGATCACACGGGTACCGCTAATGGTTCATCAGAAGAGACTGCTATTGGATCTGTGTAGGAATTCTTGTCAGAAAATGCCTTTTCATTTAAATTGAATGTGATTCAAAAAAGAATCAGACTGATTTGATTTTTTTTTCTATACTTAAAAAGAAAAAAAAAAAAAAAAAGTTTTTATATTCTAAGAGGAGGTATCAGTATCTAATTTAGAAATGACTTCTTCTTTGGAAACCTAAGTTCATTGAAACTGAGTAACAAACATGACCTGAAACTGAAACAGTTAAAAACCGCTGGAATAAAAGCATTCAAAACCCGCCTGTTACTTCTCTACCTTCCCACTATTCTCTGAGATTTGATTCAGTCTATTTCTTTGGAAAGAAAATGTAGACGACTACATTTTACTTTAATTCAAAGTAGAAAAAGAAGAAAAGATTTCCTATCAATTCTGATTATTCAGCTGAGTGGTTGTTACAGTTGGTGTTACAGCTGAAAAGATTATCGTGGTGAAAATAGGAAAAGAAACAAACAGGAAAGGAAGGCTCACCTGTATCCAAAGATCTAGGTTCACAGGAAAGACTCCATAAAGGAGGAACCTCCAAAAAGAAATCCTTCCCCTAGTGGCAGTCAGCCCTTAAATGGGGTCTAGGAGGTCACACAGCTGAATTGCCTTCACCTGTGCTCCCACAACTGACTCAGTCCTTTGCTCAGGTGATCAATCAGTGGTTCAGGCTGTGACTCAACAGTTCCCATACAGCAGTAAATAAAGTTTACTTGCTCTTTTTGCTATCTTTACAAGTTGAGACACCCTCTAGTCAGAAAGCAGCTCAGAAAGCAGATGTTTGCATTTTCACTTGCAGCTTGGAGGCTTTCAAATGAGATTCCACAGAACAGCCAAGCAGTTAGCATCACGCTTGCTAACACACTGGAAAAATGTGAATTAGAATTATGCATATATCACTTCATTAGTGTTGGAAAGAAAATAAATACACAATGGTTACTCACTGGAGTCTAGACGCAATTGTCCCCACTCTTACTGAAGGAGAGAGATTACAAATTTCACAATTGCTGAGACAAAAAGAATGATGTACGTACTTCTCAGGCCAAAGAAAAAGTGATTAATATGTCTTTATCAAAAGACTGAAGCAAACTATCAAAAAGATATATCTACTTTCAAGTAGGCTTTAGAATAGAAGTGGAACCTTTTTCTATTACATGGATTACTGTAGAGGAAGAGGAGACTCAGCCAGTACAGCCAAAGGTTATTGCTCTACGTCTGAAAAGCCCAGTGTGTCTGTTTGCTTTTATTCTTCTTAGGAAGATGTTACAGCTGCTTACGGCTGCTGAGGATATGAAACACGTTCACTTGAAAAATAAAGCAATAATTTAAAATTAAAAAAAAAAAAACAACAGACAAATGTTATTTGCAGGATTATGCAGGTTCTAAAAGATTTGCTAAGGATTTGCCCACTAGATGTTAGCTAATTTAAAATCTCTGCTTGCATTTACCTCATCCCCTCATTTATTCTCATGTTCATTTCAAGCAAAAAAGAAAGCTACTGCTGTTGTGGAATTACCATGTTTTTGATAGGGAGGCAGGAGAAAGAGGCTGTAGGTAGCATTTTTATTTTTTATTTGTTGTTAAGTTACAATAGCCTTTGTAATTCTCAAGTTATCATAGAATCACAGGATGGTTGATGTTGGAAAGGAACTCTTGAGCTCTGCTGGTGCAACCTCCCTTAACTTGAGGTTAAGGAAGGCAAAGTGGTGGCAACCTATATTATTCTGTAGATATTTAGGATAGCTTTGAGCTAAAAATGTTCATTACACTGATTATACAAAAAGAGAAGCACAGTCTTTCACTGCCCCTCCTGTGGTGTCCAGCAGGTTTGGGTGCTTTGTATTGTCTGGGAGCTACTTCCCCAGTACCATCTCTGTCTGTTGATTTCCAGTCACTTATTGCAGATAGCCATATCTTAAAGTCCTTCTCATAATTTCATCAGACCTCATTTTAAAATTACTTAACTGCCAAAGCAGTCCCATTTGGACTTCTTCTCCACAGGCTACACTGCTTACAAATATACTTTATCACTCCATTGGTCCTCGGGAGAAACTCTGTGGTTTCATGGAGGATTTGACCTAAGATAAATCATTTTGTTTCTGGGGTCAGTGTTCAGTGGGATCAATGAGCTGACCCAATTCCTGTCACAGCCACACAAAGGAGGATCTGTGTGTGCATCTGTGACACTACCTCATCCTTCAGCTTCGTAGGCAGCTCTTCACAAGCTGCTCTTAAACCACTGTATGAGCACGGCAAACAACGTGTCCCAGGGCAGCAGCCTCATGGGCTTCAGTTATAGGGCAACAGGGTGTCACTGACCATTCTCCTGACTATCTCTCTGTGGGCCCATGGGTGGTAGAAGAGCCACCATCTTCTGGTGTAAATGCCTTGTGCTGTAACCGGCTTCTCAGATGAGCTTGACCATGTGACAGGCCTGCTATGAAGGCCAGCCCATGTTCTAAGCTCCAGGACCAGCTCTCCTTGCGTGATGAGGCAGAAACCAGATTTATGGGCAGGCTTTGTTCATTTAATGATTTCTTCTGGGATGGGGCAGGCGCATGGAATGCTTGAGGACACTTACAAAGGCACCTTAAAACGTACAGAAATGACTAAAAATAATTGTACATGGCAGGTTTTATCACCTCTCCAGGAAAAAAGCTCATGCCCTCTTGATCCAAACTATCTTCTGACATTGCATCTTTACTGTCATCACAAGTTTTATTAAAAGCCAGCCAGTGAGTCATTCAGTATTTAAAAGCAGTGAATTACAGAGCAGGCACATTGCAGCATCATACACCTGCACTCTCTTCAACTCAACACCTTCCCCTCTTTTTGGTATCCTTTTTTGCTCATGTACACATCCCATCCAATTTATCACAGTGTCCACTGGTGCATAGTCAGCGGATTTTACCTTCTGGATATTTTCATTTTTTACAGAAATCACTTTCAATTAGTTTAAGAAATAGGGAAGCGTTAAATCATCTGTCACACATTTACAGAGCACACCAAGTTATTCTGTTTGGCATGCAGATAAAGGGAAAATAAATATTCATTGAGCCTATGAATTTAAATCCCTTAAATCAGGGGTCAGATAAAAGGTAAATCTAAATGTTCACAGTTCATCTTTGAGCATTTTCTCCTTTTGTTTCTTGACTAACTCTGTGTGCCCCTCTATAATGGGCAAATGGGAGCAAATCCCCAAATAGCTGAGTAGCAGGCAAAGCATTTTATATTTTTCAGAGAATGTTAAAATACAATCCAGCAGGCAGCCTCAGAGTCTCGTTGCGTTCCCAGGCACTCAGTTACCTTGAATGCTAGTAATTCAATACACTGCTTATAAGAGTGGCACCCACAGGTAAAGCTGTGTGCTCAAGCTACGTGCCGAGCTACATATCAGTTTTTATAGTGCTTTGTGTGTGTACATTATCAGAAGCAGCTATTGAAGGATGTGAAAGACTCACCCATTATTTTGGCTGCTTGAGAGCCGTGGCTGCTTTTAAATGCGTAAGTCCCTTCTGCAACCCGCTCTCAAATGTCTCATACCCAAATTGCCTGAGCAGTACTACGTGCCCCTTTCAATCTTAGCTGGTTGAACATGCAATGCTCTTTTCTCCAGCGGGAAAAAAGATCCTCTGCAATATCAATATTTCAATCTAAAGCATTCCCTGGGTTCCTATGGAACTAGATTTATTGCCTGCTGCTACAAGCCTTTTGTATAAAGGATGTTTGCTTTAGCAATTGCTGCTCTTTCCTGTTTCTTAGTTTAATATGAACTTAAAGGGCACGAACTTGAAACTGGGAATAAATGTACATTTAACTTGTTGTTTACTTTGTGTTCCTGTTTGTATATGTAGGTGCACATGCAACTGACAGACCTCTCCTTTGAGCAAATTGTTTTGCTAATAACTGACCTTTGCATATAAGCTATCCAATTTGAACATGCAAATACTGTAATTGAGAGGCTGGCCCAGAAAAAAAGCATTTTTTAAAACTACTTCTTTTGAATGCAGGTATATTTATGGCTTCCGGTTCAACTTTTAATAAGAAATATATGTGTATGTATATTTAATGAAGATGTATAAGTAAAAAGCTTCTAATTCTGAAATATGCTACACAGTCTACTTATTTTGAGGAGACCTAGTTTACCTTCACTATGTAGTTCACAATAAGTAAAGCATTTATAAACTTGTCTCTAAGAGATTTTAGAGATCTCTTGGGCACACAGAGGTACTGGATCTGTATTTGCAGCCAAGCAGAGTAGATTGGTGCTACCTAAAGCTCTTATCAGATATTAGTCTTGAACTACATTATAGCAACTTTTATTTAGAAATCAGTACCACAAAGACTGGTTATGGAGCTATTAAAGTTTGATCTGTTTACCTGTCTTCCACTGAAAACCAAAGCAAAAAGATGTTTAAAATGAAGACAAAATAAACTGAAACAATTTCACACTCTCTTGTTATTTGGCTTATTGCAAGCTTGTAAAATCATCATGAATATTTAGCAACTAAACCTGTAATCAGCATTTTTTAAAATCAAAATAACTAATTTCAGTGGGACATGGAATGAGATTATTTACCTCTCCTCCACTGCTCACTGCCATTTACTCACTGTAACTAACTGTTGAGAATTTACAAGGATGTCTTGATGCCTCCGTCAAGTTACTGATACTTCTCAGAGTCTCCAGCAGATGACTGCCTTTTGACTTGGTTGCCTTCATTTTATTCCCAAAATTGTAGGTGCTAATGCATCAAATTCTGCGTTGTTTCAGACTCAGTGTGATCACTTCAAGCAAACAGGAGTGCTTACAGTAGTACTGAAATAAAATATTTGTTTCCAATCTGCCTTAAATAAAATATCTACTTTTACACTGAAGGCCATGTATTTTTCATTTTAAAGTATCGTGCTAGCAATCTATGCCTCTTAAATGTTGTATCTCAAGGTTTGAAAAAGCAAATGATTTTTTATTTACTTTTCTCCGCCAATAGATGGCAGGTGAAGCTCTAGAAATTTCTCCACTGGATCCAGCATGAAATAACACATAAAGTTTGCAAGTATGCAACCAGTTGTAAATAAATGCTCTCCAATATCTTCTGAGATGTGATCATGGTTTAGCACTAGCCTGTATACCTCGCATTATAAAACTTAGCTAAAGGTTACGAATAGTTCCATTTTATATATAAAACTGTACATTCTTATTTATTTTGTCCTACTCCATTAGGTGAAACTGAAGTTGGAACATATAGCCTTTCTGCTTTGGTTGGGAAGGTATTTGACAGCATGATGTAGCAGCTGATACATTCATTCGGGAGCTTGGGACTGAGCTTTCTGTAATCAAACAAGAAAGCTCTGCATTCGTACCCGTGTCACAGATCATGCTCACTGTAAGCTGGAACAGAATAGCTGTCAGCTTAAGCTTTGATTTCCAATTCCATAAAAGCTAGAAACATGCGAGAGAGGGAGGTGCAGCTTGATGGCAGAAAGAGCCTCCAAAAGTGACAAGGCTTGTTTTAATAAGCTTCGGTAAG